CAAGAAGGAACCCTGATGTAACATTGTCAAGAGGGAACCCTGATGTAACATTGCCAAGAAGGAACCCTGATGTAACATTGTCAAGAGGGAACCCTGATGTAACATTGCCAAGAAGGAACCCTGATGTAACATTGTCGAGAGGGAACCCTGATGTAACATTGCCAAGAAGGAATCCTGATGTAACATTGTCAAGAGGGAACCCTGATGTAACATTGCCAAGAGGGAACCCTGATGTAACATTGTGTAGAGGCAACCCTGATGTAACATTGCCAAGAAGGAACCCTGATGTAACATTGTCAAGAGGGAACCCTGATGTAACATTGCCAAGAAGGAACCCTGATGTAACATTGTCAAGAGGGAACCCTGATGTAACATTGCCAAGAAGGAATCCTGATGTAACATTGTCAAGAGGGAACCCTGATGTAACATTGTCAAGAGGGAACCCTGATGTAACATTGCCAAGAAGGAACCCTAATGTAACATTGTCAAGAGGGAACCCTGATGTAACATTGCCAAGAAGGAATCCTGATGTAACATTGTCAAGAGGGAACCCTGATGTAACATTGCCAAGAGGGAACCCTGATGTAACATTGTGTAGAGGCAACCCTGATGTAACATTGCCAAGAGGGAACCCTGATGTAACATTGTCAAGAGGGAACCCTGATGTAACATTGTGTAGAGGCAACCCTGATGTAACATTGCCAAGAAGGAACCCTGATGTAACATTGTCAAGAGGGAACCCTGATGTAACATTGTTGTTGAGAAATGGTTTACCAGCTAAGGTTAAAGTCTAAATATAGGGGGAACTTAGCTTAATAAGACAGCTATCGCCCACACAGCCGCCCCTGCAGGTGAGGTCTTGAGAAGCTGTCTTAACCACATCGCAACGGGCTGAAATGGAAATGTCTTAATAATAAATTACCCCTAGGGGGTATTATGTCAGCATATTTCATTCACTGATTGCTGACAAAACTTATGCGTGTGGACTCAAAAGTCCGCACCTCACTGCCGACTGTAGGTTGATTACAAACTCCTTGTGACACAAGAACTGCACAGTCCCTTGTATTACAAGATAATTCGTAACCTACCTTGCTCTTGTAGCATGAGCTATGGTGTTCTTTACACCCTCAACAGGTATCGGTGACTTGATAGAACCTGAAGTGTCCTTGGATGTCCACGTCTTCCATAGTCTAGGAATACGCACATTGGTACACTATGTTCCACAAGGTTTGTCTTTATTGTTCACAATCTTATCACTAAAGAAGCTGATCACACTTCTCTGTAAGGGTTTATTCTGTTTTGCAAGACACTTTGTTCACACTAATGCATGGATCAGTGTTCTTTGTTGGTTATCCTGGCGTCAGTGTGACTCCCAGTAGGATGAAAAGCAATCTGACCTCACAGCCTCCTACGCTGCTGCAATGCCCCTAGAACATAAAGGAAAAGCTGACCTAGTATTTTTTGCTTATTTGCCAAACTTCCACTATAAACCAAAGCAGAATGCTTGAATCTTGCTGTCTTAAGCATAGACAACAATGTCCACTATCTTTACTATGGTAATATAGTAGGAGCAGGATTTTCCTTTATTGTCCTAGTAAAAAAAGAGATGGACTGTCTCTCATAACTAAACTATATGCAACATCGGATTCTTGCAAGGAGCGGCGGTCGCTTGACCACGTCACATACTCATACTGCATCTGAGATCAATTACTTGCTGCAGCAGTAAACAAGATGGTTGCCCCTTCTGAGAGGTCTGGGCCCCTCAGGCCGGAAAGAGGCTGAAAAAGGCTGAAGGGGGCTAATATCCCCCTCCGGGAGAAAATTTCTCCAAAATTGTAAAGATTGAACCCTGATGTAACATTGTCAACAGGCAACCCTGATGTAACCTTGTCAACAGGCAACCCTGATGTAACATTGTCAAGACGGAACCCTGATGTAACATTGTCAACAGGCAACCATGATGCAACATTGTCAAGAAAGAACCCTGATGCAACATTGTCAAGACCGAACCCTGATGTAACATTGTCAAGAGGGAACCCTGATGTTGCATTGTCAAGAGGCAACCCTGATGTAACATTGTCAAGAGGGAACCGTGATGGAACATTGTCAAGAGGAAACTCTGATGTAACATTGTCAAGAAGGAACCCTGATGTAACATTGTCAAGAAGGAACCCTGATGTAACACTGTAAAGAGGCAACCTTGATGTAACATTGGCAAGAGGCAACCCTGATTTAACATAGTCAAGAGGGAACCCTGATGTAACACTGACAAGAGGGAACCCTGATGTAAAATATTCAAGAGGGAACCCTGATGGAACATTCTCAAGAGGGAACCCTAATGTAGCATTGTCAAGAGGGAACCCTGATGTAACATAGTCAAAAGGCAACACTGATGTAACATTGTCAGGAGGGAACCTTGATGTAACATTGTCAAGAGGGAACCCTGATTTAACATAGTCAAGAGGGAACCCTGATGTAACACTGACAAGAGGGAACCCTGATGTAACATTGTCAAGAGGCAACCCTGATGTAACACTGTCTAGAGGGAACCCTGATGCAACATTGTCAAGACCAAACCCTGATGTAACATTGTCAAGGGGGAACCCTGATGTTACATTGTCAAGAGGCAACCCTGATGTAACATTGTCAAGAGAGAACCCTGATGTAACATTGTCAAGAGGGAACCCTGATGGAACGTTGTCAAGAGGGAACTATGATGTAACATTGTCAAGAGGGAACCCTGACGTAGCATTGTCAAGAAGGAACCCTGATGTAACATTGTCAAGAGGGAATCTTGATGTAACACTCTCAAGAGGGAACCATGATGTAACACTGTCAAGAGAGAACCCTAATGTAACATTGACACGAAAGAACCCTGATGTAACATTGTCAAGAGGGAACCTTGATATAACATTGTTAAGAGGCAACCCTGATGTAACATTGTGAAGAGGGAACCCTGATGTAACATTGTCTAGAGGGAACCCTGATGTAACACTGTCAAGAGGGAACCCTGATGTAACGTTGTCAAGAGGCAACCCTGATGTAACATTGTGAAGAGGGAACCCTGATGTAACATTGTCAAGAAGGAACCCTGATGTAACATTGTCACGATTGAACCCTGATGTAACATTCTCAAGAAGGAACCATGATGTAACATTGTCAAGAGGCAACCTCGAAGTAACATTGTCAAGAGGGAACCCGGATGTAACACTGTCAAGAGGGAACCCTGATGTAATATTGTCAAGAGGAAACCCTGATGGAACATTGTCAAGAGGGAACCCTGATAAAACATTATCAAGAGGGAACTCTGATATAGCATTGTCAAGAGGGATCTCTGATGTAACATTGTGTAGAGGCAACCCTGATGTAACATTGACAAGAGGGAACCCTGATGTAACATTGACAAGAGGGAACCCTGATGTAACATTGACAAGAGGGAACCCTGATGCAACATTGTCAAGAGGCAATCCTGATGTAACATTGTCAACATTGTAACATTGTCAAGAGTGGACCGTGATATAACATTGTCAAGAGGGAACCCTGATGTAAAATTGTCAAGAGGGAACCCTGATGTAACATTGTCAAGTAGGAACCCTGATGCAACATTGTCAAGAGGCAATCCTGATGTAACATTGTCAACATTGTAACATTGTCAAGAGTGGACCGTGATGTAACATTGTCAAGAGGGATCCCTGATGTAACATTATCAAGAGGGAACCCTAATGTAACACTGTGTAGAGGGAACCCTGATGTAACATTATCAAGAGGGAACCCTGATGTAACATTGTCAAGAGGGAACCCTGATGTAACATTGTCAAGAGGGAACCCTGATGTAACATTGTCAAGAGGGATCCCTGATGTAACATTATCAAGAGGGAACCCTAATGTAACACTGTGTAGAGGGAACCCTGATGTAACATTATCAAGAGGGAACCCTGATGTAACATTGTCAAGAGGGAACCCTGATGTAACATTGTCAAGAGGGAACCCTGATGTAACATTGTCAAGAGGAAACCCGCATGTGCTATAAGTTCCATGAAAGTTCCCCTATATATAAAATACAGCAGCTTTGTTAATTTGAAGTAGATCGAGTTAGTCATTCTCGTGTAATAATTTATATTTTTGGAGAAGGAAAAAAATTCTGTCGTGAATTTTCCGAGAAAAAGACAGTTCATCCATTTTAAATTTTGAAGACCTCTAAAAACGGGAACTTTAATATTTGCTAATTTTTGTCCCAATTTATATTCAAATTAAAGCATGTTTCAGTCCAAAAAGATAAAAAATGTATTTAAAAAAAAATAACATCTGTTAAAATTTATATAAGGAAAGCTTTAAATTACTTCGGACACAACCGAAAATCAATAAAAATAATTTCCTATCAGGATGGACCAGCGTTCAGAGTTTGAAGATTATCGGAAAAGGAAAATAATTTAATAAAATTGACAGATTATAATTTTCACTGCTGAAGGTGAATGCCAAATTTTATTTTAATAAAACCCATTAACAGTGAAATTCTGATGCCCATCAGAAAAAGAATTCTCCAATAATTAATTCGATTCCGACAATTCCAAGATTTGAATAATTTCAGTAAGATTTCAAATTTATACGTATTGAAGCTACACTTCTGGCGTATCGTTCTTCTTATAGCAAACATCATCTTCATTATTTTAAAGCCAATCAGAAGAAGCATTCTTTAGTTATTGAATAAATTATGTAATATCACAATTACTAGGGATAATCAGATTGAAAGATTAAAGCAAAATAAATCTCCTCGACCTTATTAACATTTTTCCAGGGTTCTTAAGGAGTTATAAACGTAATATAAAGTCCTGAAGCTCGGGAGAGTACATAACTCTAGCTCATAAACTAAATAATGTAGAACTTGGTTATACAGAATGTGACAAGGACTTGGGAGTTATGGAAAATAGGAACCTAATGTCAAGACAGCAATGTCTAAGGGTATGTAATGAGACAAACAGATTACTGGTATTTATTTAAACATGCAGATCATGTTCATCAAGGTGATGTAGTCATGTTAGATGGAGTTGTAATGGTTCAAATGCTAACTGGTCCTTGACATGTAAATATATGTTCCAGAGTGTCAGCAACTCAATGTTCATATCTTGTATTATGGGACAACTTCAGTGAGAAGGTTAGATATTGTATGTTATATTTATAAATTATATATTCTGAAGTCAGAGGGGAAATAAAGTTACATTGGTACAAAGAGCTTGGTACTCTCAACACCTTTCAAAATATATTGAAATCTATAAACATAACGCCCTTCAAGAGAGGTTCCTTGACGCTGGTGAGGGGCTCTTGATCTAGGGAGTTGGATCTGTGCTCCAGTTCCCTGTATTAAGCCTGAATGCCTTTCATCCCCCCCACATGCGCTGTATAATCTTTTGGGTTTAGTGCTCCCCCATGATTATAATAATAATAATAACATAACGAATGCCTTCGCTTTAAATTTAAATATCTTTTGATATTTATGCAAATGTGATCAATGAGTATGTCTATTTTAACAACGTTAATCTTCACCAATAAATTTGGGTTATTACAATACATATTAAATAATTTTCAAATTTGAATTTGGTGTTGGATGAATCTCAATTGGCCTGATGAAGTACGTTTGCCCATACAAGATTATGTTTTTAACCAAAAGTGAGACTTTCTCCTTAGTCGCCTCACCATGAAGAATATAAACTACGAAGGAGAACTTAAAGAAGACAGTTTATAACAACAGATGGAAGGAGATGAGATGACATGATCATGCTAAATTTCTCAGAGGATTAAAAATGTAGATGACCAATAAAGCCGTTACGAAGACTTTTTTTTTTCTTTGATGAGAAAGTGGAATAGACTAAAGGAAGAGGCAAGCACCACATCGTTTCAGGAATAGATAAGATATATCCTTAGAGGCTAATAATCAGTAAAGCTAAGTGACAGGAATTATGAGGCAGCACTAACAGTTGGTGGAACCATAATGTATACTGCCACAATGGGTGAACTACAAGATGCCAAGCGCTATAAATCGACCCTTACAAATACACCTAAGTGAGTGCAACTAAGTAAATATAAACAAAGTAGCCACTAAGACGACCCACATAGTATGTTATGTCACAATAGGCTGGCGAGGTGAGGCCACGAGCCATGTATCAACACCTAGAAACACATCATGGGTGAGTAAAACTAGGTGAACATATCCACGTCAACAAGCTAGATGACCCATTAAACAAGTTGTGTCACAACAGGTGGGCGAGGCTGGAGGGTTCCCGTCAAGCAGTGCAAGCAATGCATCCTTCATCATACCTGGTGACCTGTGCCCCATCACCTACACCTGGGAGGGAATAAACGTCTCCTGCAACGCCAGTGTGATACCTAGAAGGTTCCTCAAGCTCCGCAGGGCCTCTAACAACGTCACCACCAACACACAGCAGCTCCACATCCTCAAGGACGGTAAGTATTAAAATGCAGTTTTCTTGAACCAGATATGCCTTATCTTGCTATCAGTTTCTGCAAGGCTGTGTGACTTTATACTGGTAAAGGGCTCTTTGTTCAGGGCATCAGAGATACCCTTCACTTTCGTAAATTAAACTCCATTACATACCATTACGCAGATGCAGTCTGACCAGTACATGTTTGGCGCTGCCTCAAGAAAATTTATTAATAACAGTAATTATAATGGTAATAATAATAATAAATTAATAAAAATAATAATATTAGTATTATTATTATTAAAAACAATTCACTGAGATCACAGAATAATAGAGGTTCAGACATGTATGCACAGGGCTCCTGACCAGCAAAATGTGATCAGTTATGAGGGTGTCTTCATAAAATTCAACGTCAGTAAAAAAAATATACAATAGGAACAAGTCAGCCATGTTCTAAATGAAACAAGCTGCGAAGATAACCTAAACAACGTGGATCTGAACCTTTGCCTAGAAAAAAATTAACTCAGGGGCACTTGAGGTCTCCTCAAGAAAAAGGAAGATGTAAGCTAGAAAGAGAGAGACGCTCCCTATACAGGCGAAGACGAAGAATTACAGATCTGCTAAGAGGGGCCGATGTATCTATAATACGAAGGGAGGCACTGGTTAGAGAATTAGCAAATATTGAACTTAAACTTATGGAATTTTACAGGAGACAAGAATTTCAGGAAGAACTAAAAGCCATGAAGGAAATTGATAAAAAAATATTTCTCTTATGCCAAATCTAAGGGTAAAACAACATCCAGTATTGGGTCCCTGCTTAGTCGAGATGGGACATGAACAGATGACAGCAAAGAAATGAGTGATATACTAAAGTTCTATTATAACTCAGTGTTCAGCGAGCCACTGCCCGGACTAAGGGTCGACAACCCAAATGAATTCTTTATGAACGAAGTCCCAATACGACTAAGTTTTTAGTGAGCCGTTAACCAGATAAAGGGTCGACAATCTATATGAATTCTTTATGACTGAGACCCAAATTCTGGTCATCTCAAAAATCTCCGTGTCTTCTTTTGCAGATGACACCCGAATTGCCATGAGAGTCCTCCATCGAAAACACTGCAACACTGGAAGCGGACATCAACCAAATTTTCAAATGGGCTACTCAAAACAATATGAAGTTCAATGAAGAAAAATTTCAGCTACTCGGACACGGAAAACGTGAGGAAATTAAAACTGTATTGTTGTGTACAACATATTCTAACCATGAAGGACCAGGGAGTGATAATATCAGAGGATCTCAATTCAAAGACCACAACAATGTATCTACCGCATCTGCTAGAAAAATTATGGGATGGACTATGAGAACCTTCAAAACTAGGAACGCCAATTCTATGATGATTCTCTTCAAATCGCTTGTTCTCTCTAGGCTGGAATACTGCTGTACACTAACGGCCCCCTTCAAGGCTGGCGACATTGCTGACCTGGAGAGTGCAAAAAAAACTTTCACTGCACACATAAGTATGATAAAGCACCTAAATTACTGGGAATAATTGAAGTCCCTTGATATTCCCTGGAACGCAGGCGAAAAAGATACATGATAGTGTACACTTGGAGAATCCTAGAGGGATTCATACCAAACTTGCACACGAAACTCACTCCCTATGAAAACAAAAGACTCGGCAGGAGATGCAACATTCCCCAATGAAAAGCAGGGGCTCCATGAGTACATCGAGAGACAACACAATAAATATCAGGGGTCCACGACTGTTCAGCTGCCTCCCAGCATACATAAGGGGGATTACCAATAGACCTCTGGCTGCCTTCAAGAAGACGCTGTACAGGCACTTACAGTCAGTACCTGACCAGCCAGGCTGTGGTTCATACGTTAGTTTGCGTGCGGCCAGCAGTAACAACCTGGTTGATCAGACACTGATCCACCCACGAGGCCTGGTCTCAGATAATAATAATAATAATAATAATATTATTATTATTGTTAATATTATTATTATTATTCCATTTACAAATAATAATATGATCACTAAGGTTTTTCACTTCACATGAATATATATATATATATATATATATATATATATATATATATATATATATATATATATATATATATATATATATATATATATAATATATATTATATATACATATATATATATGTCTCATAAACACGCTAGATAACAGGGATATCTTGCTACTCCTACTTACACTTTGGTCACACTTCACAGACACGCACATGCATATATATATATACATACATCTAGGTTTTTCTCCTTTTTCTAAATAGCTCTTGTTCTTCTTTATTTCTTCTATTGTCCATGGGGAAGTGGAAAAGAATCTTTCCTCCGTAAGCCATGCGTGTCGTATGAGGCGACTAAAATGCCGGGAGCAATGGGCTAGAAACCCCTTCTCCTGTAGACATTTACTAAAAAAGAGAAGAAGAAAAACTTTATAAAACTGGGATGCTTAAATGTGCGTGGATGTAGTGCGGATGACAAGAAACAGATGATTGCTGATGTTATGAATGAAAAGAAGTTGGATGTCCTGGCCCTAAGCGAAACAAAGCTGAAGGGGGTAGGAGAGTTTCAGTGGGGGGAAATAAATGGGATTAAATCTGGAGTATCTGAGAGAGTTAGAGCAAAGGAAGGGGTAGCAGTAATGTTAAATGATCAGTTATGGAAGGAGAAAAGAGAATATGAATGAGTAAATTCAAGAATTATGTGGATTAAAGTAAAGGTTGGATGCGAGAAGTGGGTCATAATAAGCGTGTATGCACCTGGAGAAGAGAGGAATGCAGAGGAGAGAGAGAGATTTTGGGAGATGTTAAGTGAATGTATAGGAGCCTTTGAACCAAGTGAGAGAGTAATTGTGGTAGGGGACCTGAATGCTAAAGTAGGAGAAACTTTTAGAGAGGGTGTGGTAGGTAAGTTTGGGGTGCCAGGTGTAAATGATAATGGGAGCCCTTTGATTGAACTTTGTATAGAAAGGGGTTTAGTTATAGGTAATACATATTTTAAGAAAAAGAGGATAAATAAGTATACAAGATATGATGTAGGGCGAAATGACAATAGTTTGTTGGATTATGTATTGGTAGATAAAAGACTGTTGAGTAGACTTCAGGATGTACATGTTTATAGAGGGGCCACAGATATATCAGATCACTTTCTAGTTGTAGCTACACTGAGAGTAAAAGGTAGATGGGATACAAGGAGAATAGAAGCATCAGGGAAGAGAGAGGTGAAGGTTTATAAACTAAAAGAGGAGGCAGTTAGGGTAAGATATAAACAGCTATTGGAGGATAGATGGGCTAATGAGAGCATAGGCAATGGGGTCGAAGAGGTATGGGGTAGGTTTAAAAATGTAGTGTTAGAGTGTTCAGCAGAAGTTTGTGGTTACAGGAAAGTGGGTGCAGGAGGGAAGAGGAGCGATTGGTGGAATGATGATGTAAAGAGAGTAGTAAGGGAGAAAAAGTTAGCATATGAGAAGTTTTTACAAAGTAGAAGTGATGCAAGGAGGGAAGAGTATATGGAGAAAAAGAGAGAGGTTAAGAGACTGGTGAAGCAATGTAAAAAGAGAGCAAATGAGAGAGTGGGTGAGATGTTATCAACAAATTTTGTTGAAAATAAGAAAAAGTTTTGGAGTGAGATTAACAAGTTAAGAAAGCCTAGAGAACAAATGGATTTGTCAGTTAAAAATAGGAGAGGAGAGTTATCAAATGGAGAGTTAGAGGTATTGGGAAGATGGAGGGAATATTTTGAGGAATTGTTAAATGTTGATGAAAATAGGGAAGCTGTGATTTTGTGTATAGGGCAAGGAGGAATAACATCTTGTAGGAGTGAGGAAGAGCCAGTTGTGAGTGTGGGGGAAGTTCGTGAGGCAGTAGGTAAAATGAAAGGGGGTAAGGCAGCCGGATTGATGGGATAAAGATAGAAATGTTAAAAGCAGGTAGGGATATAGTTTTGGAGTGGTTGGTGCAATTATTTAATAAATGTATGGAAGAGGGTAAGGTACCTAGGGACTGGCAGAGAGCATGCACAGTTCCTTTGTATAAAGGCAAAGGGGATAAAAGAGAGTGCAAAAATTATAGGGGATAAGTCTGTTGAGTATACCTGGTAAAGTGTATGGTAGAGTTATAATTGAAGAATTAAGAGTAAGACGGAGAATAGGATAGCAGATGAACAAGGAGGCTTTAGGAAAGGTAGGGGGTGTGTGGACCAGGTGTTTACAGTGAAACATATAAGTGAACAGTATTTAGATAAGGCTAAAGAGGTCTTTGTGGCATTTATGGATATGGAAAAGGCGTATGACAGGGTGGATAGGGGGGCAATGTGGCAGATGTTGCAAGTGTATGGTGTAGGAGGTAGGTTACTGAAAGCAGTGAAGAGTTTTTACGAGGATAGTGAGGCTCAAGTTAGAGTATGTAGGAAAGAGGGGAAATTTTTTCCAGTAAAAGTAGGCCTTAGACAAGGATGTGTGATGTCACCGTGGTTGTTTAATATATTTATAGATGGGGTTGTAAGAGAAGTAAATGCGAGGGTCTTGGCAAGAGGCGTGGAGTTAAAAGATAAAGAATCACACACAAAGTGGGAGTTGTCACAGCTGCTCTTTGCTGATGACACTGTGCTCTTGGGAGATTCTGAAGAGAAGTTGCAGAGATTGGTGGATGAATTTGGTAGGGTGTGCAAAAGAAGAAAATTGAAAGTGAATACAGGAAAGAGTAAGGTTATGAGGATAACAAAAGATTAGGTGATGAAAGATTGAATATCAGATTGGAGGGAGAGAGTATGGAGGAGGTGAACGTATTCAGATATTTGGGAGTGGACGTGTCAGCGGATGGGTCTATGAAAGATGAGGTGAATCAAAGAATTGATGAGGGAAAAAGAGTGAGTGGTGCACTTAGGAGTCTGTGGAGACAAAGAACTTTGTCCTTGGAGGCAAAGAGGGGAATGTATGAGAGTATAGTTTTACCAACGCTCTTATATGGGTGATGAATGTTGCAGCGAGGAGAAGGCTGGAGGCAGTGGAGATGTCATGTCTGAGGGCAATGTGTGGTGTGAATATAATGCAGAGAATTCGTAGTTTGGAAGTTAGGAGGGGGTGCGGGATTACCAAACTGTTGTCCACAGGGCTGAGGAAGGGTTGTTGAGGTGGTTCGGACATGTAGAGAGAATGGAGCGAAACAGAATGACTTCAAGAGTGTATCAGTCTGTAGTGGAAGGAAGGCGGGGTAGGGGTCGGCCTAGGAAAGGTTGGAGGGAGGGGGTAAAGGAGGTTTTGTGTGCGAGGGGCTTGGACTTCCAGCAGGCATGCGTGAGCGTGTTTGATAGGAGTGAATGGAGACAAATGGTTTTTAATACTTGACGTGCTGTTGGAGTGTGAGCAAAGTAACATTTATGAAGGGATTCAGGGAAACCGGCTGGCCGGACTTGAGTCCTGGAGATGGGAAGTGCAGTGCCTGCACTCTGAAGGAGGGGTGTTAATGTTGCAGTTTAAAAACTGTAGTGTAAAGCACCCTTCTGGCAAGACAGTGATGGAGTGAATGATGGTGAAAGTTTTTCTGCCTTGGTGGGAATCGGCCAGTGTGATAATAAAAAGTAATATATATATATATATATATATATATAAATATATATATATATATATATATTATATATATATATATATATATATATATGTATGTATATATATACATATATGTATACATATATGTATACATAATGTATATATATATATACAACATTTTTTTCCGAATCACCAAGTGCTGCACGACACTTCTTTGTACACGGAATCTCTAGGTTCTGCATGACTCTACATTGTATACTGAACCTCCAGGTCCTACATGACTCTACATTGTATACTGAACCTCCAGGTCCTGCATGACTCTATACTGTATACTGAATCTCCAGGTGCTACATGACTCTTAATTGTATACTGAATCTCCAGGTGCTGCATGACGCTTCATTGTATACTTATTTCCCTTGAATATCATAGTAATATGTTTTTTGTTGTGCAGTGTGTGGGATATGTCGCCCCGGGGAGCTACTGGCCATCATGGGGGCATCTGGTGCCGGCAAGACCACCCTTCTTAATGTCCTCACCCACCGCAACAATGACAAGCTGAGAGTCAGCGGCAATATTAACATCAACGGCATTCCAGCCAACTACGACGACATCACCAGCCGCTCTGCTTACGTCCAGCAAGATGACATCTTTGTGGGCACCTTGACTGTGAGAGAGCAGCTCATCTTCCAGGTATGTCTTTTAACCTACTGATCTTGCTAAACAATATTTTAGAAACGTGCTTGAACATTTCATTATTATATACGATAGATCTTCAAGATCGTATCACCACTGTTGAACTCTCTTGAAACTCGCTTACTGCTTTATATTTACCAGTGGATTTTATACTTTGATTGGCAAGCCAAAGTTATTTAAACTTCCTCTTATCTTAATGATGGTTTGACCTAGTCATTGATTTTACAATATTCAGGAGGCTAGTGTGCGAAGGAATCTTTAAATGTTTAGATTTCATTCCTTTGTCAGATCATTCTATTGACGGCTACAGTTTTATTGTTTTCCCCCATATTCATCCTGTTGACAACAGCGACTACACTGTTGTGCACTCACTCTCCATCCCTTTGAAAATAATAATTATGTTATGGTACACTCCACATTCATCATGTAGACGGTAATGGCTACCTTATTGTGTACGTTATATCCATCACACAGACGATAAAGGCTTGTTTAATGTGTACCCCATAATATATTAGTTGCTATCCCTGTAACATCTAGTGTGTTATGGATGGTAGTTGTAAATAGTAGTGGCTAGTTTACTGTGGCTTAAGTATGGCGCAGACGACAAGGATATGAAGTCTATTCTGGTGCTAAAATAAGAGCGACATACATTATGTGCCCCATATCCATCCAGTGGACGGTAGTGGCTAGTTTACTGTGCACCCCATATCCATCCAATGGACGGTAGTGGCTAGTTTATTGTGCACCCCATATCCATCCTGTCGGTCGTACTGGTTAGCTTATTGTGTACCCCATTTTACGCTTTAGACTGTAGTAGCTAGTTAATTGTGCATCTTAAACATATTCTGTAGACGTTAGTGGCTAGTTTTTTTATATGCCATCTCCATCCTCTTAACGGCAGTAGCTAGTTTATCCATCATGTGGGTTATAATGAGTCGTTTATTGTGTATCCCATATCCATCTTGTGGGTGGTAGCGGAGAGTTTGTTGTGGCTTGGTGTGGATGGTAACGAAAAATTTATTGAGTACCAGCATAGCCATACTGCAAACGGAAGCTGTTGCATTATTGTGTCTTCTATATCCATTCTATAGAGTCTACAGGACAGATATGAGTTGTACAGTAAATTAGCCACTACCGTCATCAGAATGAATACGGGGAAAACATTTGTCTCCTTGGTTCCACGGGATGGAAGCGGGATCAACAAAAATGTAGAGGCAGCCGTGTATATTGTAGACTTAGGCGACTTCATTTTATTGTACTCACATCTATCTTATGGAAACTACAGGCAAGTTTATTATGTTCCAATATGCATTCCATTGACGGAAGAGTCTTCCGTATTGTGCACTAGAATTCTGTTCTGTTCTATCAAGTATTTAGTAGCGGCGACATTACTGTGTATCTTACAGCTATAATGTGGACGGTAGTGGCTACTTTACTGTGCGGCCCTTAATTAATTGTTCTGTGAACTGTGCCATCCAATTTGTGCACCCTGTGATCGGTCTAGCTAACTTATTTTGTACCCAAAGGACTATGATAGCTAATATATTGTGACATCCTGCTAGTTTAATATGCAGGTAGTAGTTCTATTTAGGTCATATTTAAAAGTCTGTCATAACTTTATAATCAAGAGACAAATAATACTGTGAATTTGAAAATATTTTTACAATTCTTTCTATTCTAATTCTCTATCAGAATGATATCAGTGACTAATATTTTGGTACTTTCTGAGGCTGTGTTGCGTATGGATCGCCACTTGTTGTATAAGGAGAGACTAAGACGTGTGAACCAAGTCATAATGGAGGTGAGACTTTTGAATATGTTGATATTTGATACAAAAAGCAGTATGCTGATAAAAAGTATAATTGCATCACATTATGTGATCACTTCAGCTAAAGAACTTCGTTTAAAGACCTTTTTCTAAATAACCCGGCTATGTCTTATGGCCTATTGAACTTTAGTGGCCATATCACATGGTTTATAGTACTAAATTGGCCATGTAATATGGTTTCTAGTTCTGAAGTGGCCATATCACATGGCCTCTTAAACTAAAGTGGCTTGGTTGGTATTTCCAACTAAAGAGACAAATTCAAACGGTTTTCTTAATTAAAGTAGGAGTGTTACACAAACGTTACCTGATCTCATACGGCCTCTTGAAATTAAGTGTTCGCGTTACATTTACTCTTCAGCTAAAGTGGTCATATTACTTGATATAATGCAAGTGTGCTCCCTCTCTGTTATTTTTATTATTATTATTTTTTAATGTTATTGTGAAATTCTGAAGATATTTACAATTACTATGTTGGTGTTTTGTAGCACATTACAACTTCTCATTATAACATCATCAAACATTCTTCTTCTAATGCTGTTTTGGGGTCTTCTTAACTTTAATTCTTAAGGTAATCTGTTAACTATCGTTAGGTAAATCTGAAGGAGGGGTGTTAATGTTGCAGTTTAAAAACTGTAGTGTAGAGCACCCTTCTGGCAAGACAGTGATGGAGTGAATGATGGTGAAAGTTTTTCTTTTTCGGGCCACCCTGCCTTGGTGGGAGTCGGCCAGTGTGATAATAATAATGTGATAATTGTTATTTTACACTGCTCTTATTCTTTCAATGATAATTTAGTATGTTAGGTCTGTTTTCTTGCTAAAAAAAAAAACAAAGAGGTAAACAAATACTGAAAAGACAGTTAGTTTGACGTCTTCATTATGTGCTCCATACCCATCCTATGGGCGGCAGGCAAAGGATTGCAGAGGTACTCAGTGGGTCCAGGAACTGGACCGCCTCAAACTTTTGATAGATGAACAAGTTACAATGAACTATTTACACGTTTGTATCGGATCACAAGCGTAATGAGTTATTTATGCAAACATTGATTAGGTCACACACACACACACACACACACACACACACACACACACACACACACACACACACACACACACACACACACACACACACACACACACACACGAACATTAACTATATTTTGAAGTACAGATCTTCAGGTAATGTGTTTGGTGTGCATGTTCGTTGGTATAATTTATGTTTGAGATAGCCAGTCCGTAGTCAGATACTGACTCAGAAAATCCTTTATTTTCTAGCTTGGTCTCACTAAATGTGAGAACACACTCATCGGTGTCCCGGGAAAGAACAAGAGTATATCTGGCGGAGAGATGAAGAGGCTGAGTTTTGCCTGTGAGGTGCGTAACTCTAGTTTATTGTCCGAGTTAGTTGGTTAGTTAGGTTTGAATCCTGTTAACTCCATGTGGAATATTTTACTGTACACACCGGTCAAGAATACTTTACTCTATAAAACTGATCTCTTAAACTTGTAACTTTACGTATCTGTACAGGTACTGACGAATCCTTCACTGATGTTCTGTGATGAACCCACGTCGGGTCTAGACTCCTTCATGGCTCAGAACGTTGTGGCTATGATGAAGAGCATGGCTGAAAGGGGTAAGACTATCATCTTCACTATACATCAACCCAGCTCGGAGGTCTACGCTATGTTTGATCGGGTTCTACTCATGGCAGAAGGACGGGTAGCTTTCCTAGGCACCACTGATGAGGCTTTAAGATTTTTCAGCAAGTAAGATGATATCTAATGGCATTTTGTTCGTAAGAAATAGAAAACTTAATATTTTCATCTCATTAATGTTTAAAAACTCATCATATACCTCCAAATCATTGTGTTCTGCCAGTTAGGTAAAGAACAGTGTCTGCCAGACAAGGACCTTCATCACATAATAACCTGTGACAGGTAAAGAACATTAAAATAAAGATATGCTGCAGTAGGTCTAGTGGGCCATAACAGGAACGTGCTGCTAACACCCACTCACACCCGCTCACGTATCCGTCCTTCCTACATTTAAGCTACCCAAGGTTATTACCTCGATGACGTTCTGTATGAGTTTGTTCCACTCATCTAGCAGCCAAATGCCGAAACAGTACTTTAACATATCCTTTCTAAAATTAAACTTGTCCAACCTGAATTCACTGCAGAGATTACTGTCTTAGTAGACATTTTCAACTGGCTATTCATATCCCTTTTATTCATTTTAGTTTTCCAATTATTGAGGCCAAAGAAGTCTCTCCTAATTCATTGAAAAACTTCATAATCTTTTTCTGTATATTTTGCAGCACATTTATGTCCATTCTGTAAAACACAGACCAAAACAGAGCAGCACAACACACGGCTTTAACAAAGACATGTTAATTAAAAGTTTAAATTTAGGACTTCTAATTTATATTTCTTCATTTGAAGCCAAGAACTCTATAACCGTTAAAGGGAACATAAATGCACTGTATGTTCACTATGACTCACGAAATCGTAATAACATTGAGCTGGAATTTTCCCAGTTTTATCTCATACACACACACACACATAGAGAGGGAGCAGATATGTTGTGCGTGCCACTTACTACAATCTTCAACACATCCCTGGAAACTGGGCAACTACCTGAGGTATGGAAGACGGCAAATGTAGTTCCCATTTTTAAAAAAGGAGACAGAAAAGAGGCACTAAACTATAGACCTGTGTCACTGACGTGTATAGTATGCAAAGTTATGGAGAAGATTATCAGGAGGAGAGTGGTGGAGCACCTGAAATGGAACAAGAGTATAAACGCCAACCAGCACGGATTCATGGAAGGCAAATCCTGTGTCACAAACCTTCTGGAGTATTATGATAAAGTAACAGAAGTAAGACACGAGAGAGAGGGGTGGGTTGATTGCATCTTCTTGGACTGCAAGAAGTCCTTTGACACAGTTCCTCACAAGAGATTAGTGCAGAAGATAGAGGATCAGGCACATATAACAGGAAGGGCACTGCAATGGATCATAGAATACCTGACAGGGAGGCAACAACGAGTCATGGTACGTGATGAGGTATCACAGTGGGCACCTGTGACGAGCGGGGTCCCACAGGGGTCGGTCCTAGGACCAGTGCTATTTTTGGTATATGTGAACGACATGATGGAAGGGTTAGATTCAGAAGTGTCCCTGTTCGCAGATGATGTGAAGCTAATGAGGAGAATTAAATCAGATGAAGATCAAGCAGGACTTCAACGAGACCTGGACAGACTGGACACCTGGTCCAGCAACTGGCTTCTCAAATTTAACCTCGCCAAATGCAAAGTCATGAAGATCGGGGAAGAGCACAGAAGACCACAGACGGAGTATAGGCTAGGTGGCCAAAGACTGCAAACCTCGTTCAAGGAGAAAGATCTTGGGGTGAGTATAACACCGAGCATGTCTCCGGAAGCACACATCAACCAGATAACTGCTGCAGCATATGGGCGCCTGGCAAACCTGAGAACAGCGTTCCGATATCTTAGCAAGGAATCGTTCAGGACACCGTACACCGTGTACGTTAGGCCCATACTGGAGTATGCAGCACCTGTTTGGAATCCGCACTTGATCAAGCACGTCAAGAAATGAGAGAAAGTGCAAAGGTTTGCGACAAGGTTAGTTCCAGAGCTTAGGGGAATGTCCTATGAAGAAAGGTTAAGGGAAATCGACCTGACGACCCTGGAGGACAGGAAGGTCATAGAAGACATGATAACGACATAAAATACTGTGCGGAATAGACAAGGTGGACAAAGACAGGATGTTCCAGGGAGGGGACACAGAAACAAGGGGCCACAATTGGAAGTTGAAGACTCAGACGAGTCAAAGGGATGTTAGGAAGAATTTCTTCAGTCATAGAGTTGTCAGGCAGTGGAAAAGCCTAGAAAGTGACGTAGTGGAGGCAGGAACCTTAAGACGAGGTTTGGTAAAGCTCATGGATCAGGGAGAGAGAGGACCCAGTAGCAACCAGTGAAGAGGCGGGGCCAGGAGCTAAGACTCGACCCCTGCAACCACAAATAGGTGAGTAGGTGAGTACACACACACACACACACACACACACACACACACACACACACACACACACACACCACACACCACACACACACACACACACACACACACACACACACACACACACACACACACACACACGCACGCACACACACACACACACACACACACACACACACACACACACACACACAAGAGATTAGTGCTAAAACTGGAGGACCAAGCAGGGATAACAGGGAAGGCACTACAATGGATCGGGGAATACTTGTCAGGAAGACAGCAGCGAGTCATGGTGCGTGGCGAGGTGTCAGAGTGGGCACCTGTGACCAGCGGGGTCCCACAGGGGTCAGTCCTAGGACCAATGCTGTTTCTAGTATTTGTGAACGACATGACGGAAGGAATAGACTCCGAAGTGTCCCTGTTTGCAGATGACGCGAAGTTGATGAGAAGATTTCATTCGATCGAAGACCAGGCAGAACTACAAAGGGATCTGGACAGGCTGCAGACCTGGTCCAGCAATTGGCTCCTGGAGTTCAACCCCACCAAGCGCAAAGTCATGAAGACTGGGGAAGGGCAAAGAAGACCGCAGACGGAATACAGTCTATGGGGCCAGAGACTACAAACCTCACTCAAGGAAAAAGATCTTGGGGTGAGTATAACACCAGGCACATTTCCTGAAGCACATATCAACCAAATAACTGCTGCAGCATATGTGCGCCTAGCAAACATCAGAACAGTATTCCGACATCTTAATAAGGAATCGTTCAGGACCCTGTACACCGTGTACGTTAGGCCCATATTGGAGTATGCGGCACCAGTTTGGAACCCACACCTAGCCAAGCACGTAAAGAAACTAGAGAAAGTGCAAAGGTTTACAACAAGACTAGTCCCAGAGACGAGAGGTATGTCCTACGAGGAGAGGTTAAGGGAAATCAACCTGACGACACTGGAGGACAGGAGAGATAGGGAAGACATGATAACAACATACAAAATACTGAGAGGAATTGACAAGGTGGGCAAAGACAGGATGTTCCAGAGATGGGACACAGCAACAAGGGGACACAGTTGGAAGTTGAAGACATAGATGTATCACAGGGATGTTAGGAAGTATTTCTTCAGCTACAGAGTAGTCAGGAAGTGGAACAGTTTGGGAAGCGATGTAGTGGAGGCAGGATCCATACATAGCTTTAAGCAGAGGTATGATAAAGCTCACGGTTCATTGAAAGTGACCTAGTAGCGACCAGTGAAGAGGCGGGGCCAGGAGCTTGGACTCGACCCCTGCAACTTCAACTAGGTGAGTACACACACACACACACACACACACACACACACACACACACACACACACACACACGCACACATACACACACACACACATTTATAGATGACGTGAAGTTGATGAGAAGATTTCATTCGATCGAAGACCAGGCAGAACTACAAAGGGATCTAGACAGGCTGCAGACCTGGTCCAGCAATTGGCTCCTGGAGTTCAATCCCACCAAGTGCAAAGTCATGAAGACTGGGGAAGGGCAAAGAAGACCGCAGACGGAGTACAGTCTAGGGGGCCAGAGACTACAAACCTCACTCAAGAAAAAAGATCTTGGGGTGAGTATAACACCAGGCACATCTCCTGAAGAACACATCAACCAAATAACTGCTGCAGCATATGGGCGCCTAGCAAACCTCAGAACAGCATTCCGACATCTTAATAAGGAATCGTTCAGGACCCTGTACACCGTGTACGTTAGGCCCATATTGGAGTATGCGGCACCAGTTTGGAAACCACACCTAACCAAGCACGTAAAGAAACTAGAGGAAGTGCAAAGGTTTGCAACAAGACTAGTCCCAGAGCTAAGAGGTATGTCCTACGAGGAGAGGTTAAGGGAAATCAACCTGACGACACTGGAGGACACGAGAGATAGGGGGGACATGATAACGACATACAAAATACTTAGAGGAATTGACAAGGTGGAGAAAGACAGGATATTCCAGAGATTGGACACAGCAACAAGGGGACACAGTTGGAAGTTGAAGACACAGATGAATCACAGGGATGTTGGGAAGTATTTCTTCAGCCACAGAGTAGTCAGGAAGTGGAATAGTTTGGGAAGCGATGTAGTGGAGGCAGGATCCATACATAGCTTTAAGTAGAGGTATGATAAAGCTCACGGTTCAGGGAGAGTGACCTAGTAGCGACCAGTGAAGAGGCGGGGCCAGGAGCTCGGACTCGACCCCCGCAACCTCAACTAGTTGAGTACAACTAGGTGAATACACACACACACACATATTTATATATATATATATATATATATATATATATATATATATATATATATATATATATATATATATATATATATATATATATGTGTGTGTGTGTGTGTGTGTGTGTGTGTGTGTGTGTGTGTGTGTGTGTGTGTATACAAATATGTATGCAGAACAACCACTAAAAAGTCACGAAAGCACATGGAATTTTACCATTTTTTTTTTTCACAGTGGTTGTTGTGCATATTGTGATATCAGCTGTTTACTGTGATCTTAGAGAAGTACATCTCTAGAACTGGACTGGGGAACCTCATCCTCAGAGAAGAGAATAAACGTTCCTCAGGGAAAACTCAAGGTTTGAATATTTTCTTCTACTACTTCCTATATTCTATATTCTGTATTCTATGTGAACTTTATTAACAGACAGAATAAATTGACAGAAAACGCAAACATGAATACATTGGA